CTACGTACACTACTAATATAGTACATATATATATATATATATATATATATATATATATATATATATAATAGATTTCAAGTTTTTGAAATAATGTATTTTGTAACGCATTTTTGGTCCGTCAATTTTTAAGATTTTCAAGTTTTAATAGATCTATCAATCTATATTATTTTTAAAGCTTTAAACTTTATAAGTAAAGATGAAATATCTTTTAAGGCTATAACAAAGATTTGCAGTCTTGAAACCACATTTCTCCATACTATTTGAAAGTAGGCTCTAATTTGATTGTTTAGAGCCAAGGCTCTATACAAACCGCACCTATTAAAAAATGAGTATAAATTGTCTTTTAGGGAAATTTATTAAACTGCCGTACCTAAGATTATAACTATTTAATTACTGCTGTATTTTTTATTAAATTTAAATAATCCATTGACCATCGGTCTCTAGATCAAATTTCAAATGGCCCATAAGACGATAAAATATGTTTTGAAATTTATCAAATTATACATAGGATAAAATATCAAATGTTTCAAGCTTTTTGGTGCTATGTTTTTATGAAATTGGAGGAAGTTAAATTCCAAAGAAAAAGATTAAAATAAGGCTTTTAGTCCTTATTAATCAAAGTAGTGCAGCACCTCAATCTCACCGAAATTTGTAGCTCTGGTGTCAAAAAAAAAAAAAAAAGCCTCAAATTATTTATTTTGATCTTTGACTATTTTGGATGATAGAAAAAAACTAGGATTTCAGGACCAATAATTAGTGTATCTTGTTATGCATTATCAAATGGACCATCTATTTTCAAGTATTCACAAATTAACGAATCTATGTTAATATGTACCACTTTTTTAACATCAAATTTTTATAATTGAAGGGAAAAATCGATTTACTTTTGATACAAGGTGGTCACAATTAACCTTGACCGTTGGATGTGAAATTGGATTGCTGTATTTATTTCATAGCCCAACTTTAAAGTTCAAAAAAAAATTTCTCAAACCCCAAAACATATCGAGGCTCTCATATTTCACATCAAATTGTTATAAGTAATTGTGACCTCTCTATATGAATGGTAAAGGGCCTCATTTTGTACGATCCCTTTTTTTCAAGCGTGCAATCCCAAATTTTGGGTTTAAGTCGAGGTAATGGAATCAATAGATGATACACTCCCGAGAGACCACGCAATCGTTTGGCAACTTTTAAATGGCACTTAACCGCGGTCAAAATCCTTCGAGAAACTAACTGGCGTAAGCCACCAGTGGTTAGGTTAGGGTTTCACGAGCGCCTTTTTCCCTATTAAAGGGCAGAGATCTCAATCAAACCAGTATCTGTACTATTTATTTGCACTCTTTAGGTCAACTTCTCTCTCTACTTTATCTCTCGCCAGCCTCTGGGTCGATTTCACTCTCTATCTTCCATGTAGCGTCTCTTTGTTTATCTCCGAGTATGTTTTTGTTTTCATTCCTTCTCTACCTTCTCTCTCTAACTCGTTATGACTATATTCCTTGTGTTTCAGGCGATTTTTTATATGTTTTTGTGTTGGAAATTTCCCGATCTCAAGGTTCTTCCTATATCTACTTCTATTCGAAGTTTTGTGATTTAGATAGAGAGAGAGAGAGTATGTGCTTTGAGATTGTTAGATCATGATTTTAATAAGTTTTCTGAACTCTTTTTATGGTGATGGACAGTTTTTTTTATGGATCTCTGATGATGATCAGCCTAAAACTTTCGTTCTTCCGAGGTTAATCTATGCGGAAAATTTATGGAGACCTGAACTGAAGAGATCGTTTTCTATATGAAATACTGTGTAAGGGGGTTCTGATGGATTTTTTTTCTAGTTATTTATACCCTAGCCCTGTAACATGATGAAATTTTTCAAGATTTTGGAACCCTAGCACGAAAATGTGGTGAAGTTTTTTAAAGTGGAGAACATAGATCTAAACAAAAATTTCTTTTTGAAACCCTAACCCTAAAATTTGGTGAGAATTTCCTGGTTTTGGCCAATATTGTTGAAACGCATGATTTATAAATATTTATCTCATTTTTGTAGCCCATGTTTTTTCCCTGGAAATTGTGCATATGTTGAAGATAATGTGGCATGTTTGGGGATGATAAAATCCTTATTGAGATCTCTTTCTTTATTTTTGAAGTCATAATATTTCCGTTTTTTGGGAAATCTTGATTTCTCGGCTTTTCTAGATTCTAGACCACCTCTCGAACTCTTGAACCCATATCCTTTCATTTTTTAATCTTTTCATGGTTGTTAAGTTATATTAAGGTTTGATAGTTGCATCTCTATGATGAATAATTTTTTAGAATTAAAAGTAGTGGACTGATTTCTGATGAGAAACATATCATATTTCTGAGGGATGCAAAACTGTTCAAAAAGAACACCAAATTTCTCACTTCCAAAATATTGTTTTTATTTTTTATTTTTATGTTTTACAATTAAACATTTGGTTTATGGAATTTCTATAAGAGGAATAATCTTGGGGCTGAATTTTCATTTCATTTCCAAAATATAATTTTTTATTTATTTATTTTTACAACAAACATTTGGTTTATGGAGTTTCTATAAGAGGAATAATCTTGGGGCTGAATTTTCATTTCATTTATAAAATAGCATATTTATTATTTAATTTTTAGTAGAATTCAATTTATACTTTCCTTTTATAAATAACTTAACTATATTTTGTCCCTAAAACACTTTTAAGCTCGTGCTAAATTTATTTTTTTGTCTATGCAATTTTTTTATGGAGTTCTTATAAATAACTCATTTACAGGGTGCAGTTTGTATAGAGAAATGTGGTGTCGAGAAATGTGGTTTCAATGTTGGCAATATTTGTGATAGCCTTAAAATATAGTTTCATATTTATTGATAAAGTTTAAATCTTAAAAATAGTCGAGATCGACATATCTATGAAAACTTGAAAATCTTAAAAATTGATAGTCCAAAAAATACTTTTTCCAAAACTTACAATTTATTTTTTTCTCATGTCCATACATCTTGATATTGAGATGATCAATTTGAAGATATTTGAACATCAAAACAATCTCTCCTATAGTAAAATTTTTAAGGGAGGTAGGCCCAAATTTGATTTTAGAGCCTCGGCCCTATATAAACTTTTCCCCTTACAATTTTTTCTCTCTTTTTATACTAAATTTGTATATTTTTATGTGAATGTCCCTCCCCGTGATTGAACATAACTAAGTTTCAGCCTTGTCTGAACATTATTTGTTGAAAAAATAATCTAGTGGTTCTGAGGGAGAACTGTTACTTTTTCATTTTTGTGTTTAAATTTTCTCATATTTATAATTTTACTTCTGTTTAATTGCCAAATAATAAGTATACTTTAATTTCTTATCTAAAGCTTATTTATACTTCTGTTTTTCAAGAATTTAGAAAGAAATAGTGAAAGATATTAGAGAGGCCGGAAGATTTAATTCAATCTAGGAGTATTTTTAGAACCCAAAATTTTGATGATGTAAATTTTTTCCAAACGTAAGTTATATTTGAAATTGTCCATAATTCTTTGAAGTATGGGATTTGAAATTGGATGGTTGAGGACTTTATTGTTCGATAATAAAGTTCAAAATAAAATTTCACTTCATTTATTGGAATTAGAATGGAATTAGAATTTACATGGCTAAAAGTGTTTGTGAAGAAAATGGTCTATACAATCCTATGATTTGATGAATGATTGGATGATTTTTGCAAAGTGATTTGCATAAACTGTTTCCTTAAAAAAATGACATCATAAAATTAAACAGTCTAAAACCAAAAATTTTGATGATGTAAATATTTGCCAATCGTAAGTTATATTTGAAATTGTTCATAGTTCTTTGAAGTATGGGATTTGAAATTGGATGGTTGAGGGCTTTATTGTTCGATAATAAAGTTCAAAATAAAATTTCACTTCATTTATTGGAATTAGAATGGAATTAGAATTTACATGGCTAAAAGTGTTTGTGAAGAAAATGGTCTATACAATCCTATGATTTGATAAATGATTTGATGATTTTTGCAAAGTGATTTGCGGAAACTGTTTCCTTAAAAAAATGACATCATAAAATTAAACATTGTCTAAAACCAAAAATGGGTGCTAAAGAACTAAATTTTTTTTTTATTTAAAAATTGTGACTTTGGTGATGCCTATTGAATTCCGTTCGCCAATGAAAATTTGTAACAAAACCCATCAATGGCAAGATTAAATTTGTAATAATCTGCCATTTCACATTCACCAATCATCCCATGAAAAATTATAAACCACAAGAATTGTAAAATGAAGAGGAATTGTATATTACGAAGTTTTTTTTTTATTTTGTTCAAAGAGGTCACAATTATTTTTAGCTATTAGATGTTAAATTGAATGGTTTTGAATATCAGGTAGTACAAATAGTTTAAAATCTGATGAACAAGAATGATTATATCTTGTTTGTATCAAAAGTAAATGATCTTTGTATATTTTTTCAAATAAAAAGTCAAATTATTTTCGTTAATAATTAATACATGTCATTGACCAAAAGAGCAATTTCAAGGGCCAAAAGAAGAGTTTCACCCTCCCTTTCTATTATTCTGCTTTTGTGTTTTATTTTGTTGTGTGTAATTTTCATCAATCCTGCAGGCAGTTTCCTCATTCTATGCTACGAGCTCTCATTTGAAATCCAAGTCTAAATGGTCTAAAGATTTATTCAAATAAAGAAATGGTCTAAAGATTCATTCAAATAAAGACCGGTGAGAAGAGACATAAGGATGAAAGTGAACGATTTATGCAAAACCCAATCTGGGGTCACAAACCTCCATTTTGTACAATTCAAACACACCTAACCGTGAATCCCTTAACAAAAGGAATGGGAAGAAAAAGACTGGACCCATGGTCCAATAGCTTGAATTATCAATCAATATTTTGTTCAATCTGATTCAGAGTAAAAGTTAGGTTTGGATAAAAGCTTGTCAAAATTGATGATTAAGTTCAACTTCGACTGCTTTAATCATTTAAACAAAGTGAACAGCTTTTTTTCTAAAATATTACATGTTATTATTCTTTTTTTTGGCAGACTTCAAATAGTTAAGCGAAGACCCAAATGACGATGATTATTCAACAATGAATAATCACATTTTTTTTGTCAAACCGGTTTTGACTAACTATACCTCCCACCAATTCAATTAATAATCATAATAATATTATTTGGACTCCCCTAAAAGAATAAAGCTCGGGTAAAAAATTAGAAATATAAAAAGAAAAGGAAAATAGAAATTTATTAAAGTCCAAGAGTAAAAAGGACTTTTTTTAACTTTTCAACTTTTGACCAATGAAATGGGGTTTTTTTGGATACTCTTTAGTTTCTTGGGGCAATAACCCCTTTTAAAATAGCATGAAATAAACAAGAAATATCAATTGTCGCTTTATCAGATGCAGCCTAAAAAAATCCTCAATCTGTTGGCTTAGTCACACAAAAGAGACCGGGGCAACCAGAATTGAACACCCTATAGTCACATTAAAAACTCCAAAACATTCATATCATAACAAGTCTGATAACATTGATCTTAGTACCTTTAATCACATTACAAACACCAAAACATTTATATTATAAACAACCAAAATCCAGAAATGAGATAGACTACCACAAAAAAAATGACTAATTTATAAAGCACTCCAAAGTTTCTTCCCAACCAGAATTCAAAACTGGTTATGCGCAACATAATCTATTGGAGTATGCTATATCGATAATCCAAAGGTCATCCATCACTCATTCTGGCACTGAGAGTCAAGTTCAGAAGTATAGTACATTTCAATGTTCAACCAACCAAAATTAATTTCCACCATACATTCCATTGTACTATGGTATAATTTTCTGTAGTGAAGTTGCACATCTTCTCTTTGCTGCTCTCTCAGCACGCTGAGCAGACTGAGTTTCCCTTGTTACCTCTGTCTCAAAAGAATAAACATTGTCATTATCAGTCCAGTTATACTTTTTTCTGGATTCACACTTAGTTTTTTTGGTGGAGCCAGTGGGTTTCTCCTTTTCTTCATTGTTGTACTCAGAGACCTTGATGATATATACCTACAACCAAAAGTGTACATCAAATGTTGGTTGTTTAGAATTTCTATTTGCAACTACTTCAAAAGAGGAGACAGAATTTGAGAGAGAGAGAGAGAGAGTCATGTCTGAGATTCACCCCTACCAAAGTTGTGGTTGTAACAAGATTAAATGAAAACAAATGAAATTTTGAATGGGATTCTGTTATGTTCATGGAGTCTCAGGTCCACGGATTCTGGTAATGCTACGAGGACCTTGAAAGACAGGTAGTCTGGTTAGATTGCACTAATGAAGAAGGTCGTACAAGGATGAAAGGTGCAATGCCATTTATGCAATGGCAAGGAAGAGAGCACTTGAAAGACATGCCACCAACTACAATATGCGTCGATAGAGATGTAGAAATAAAACTTACAAGAAGGTAATAAAGCAACGACAAATCTTGAGTCAAACAAACGGGCGTCACTGAAGATACTACATCCATTTTGTACTCTCAGAAACCCTCCATCATTGATCTCTAAGCTCCTAGTCCTTCTCTCATTATTTGTTCCCTGTCCTCTCTTATGTCAACCTTTGAAACAGCAGCAGCATCAGCAAGTATAAGAGGGTAATATAAATTGCTGAAAAGCTTTATATATGGATGATCTTTGAAAGATTTTCATTACATAGGATGAGCTATAGCCAGTATATTGCTATAGTTAATGATTTGTGTTATTTTGAGTGACACCTTAATAAATCATCCCTTGCATGTATTGAAACGATCAATGGGACCCATTATATGCCAATTGCACTCAGTTGCAACCTATGCTGCTTTAAAACAATTCAAAATCCTTGACTTTTCAGACTCTCTATTTTTATTTTTATTTTTCTTGCAATGGGTAATTCACAAATCATCATCATCATCATAATCTTTTCCCAATTAATTGGGGTAGCCTACATGAATTCTGGTCCGCCATTCGACTCTATTAAAGGCCATATCCTCAGTGAGTCTATAAGCTCTCATCTTTTCGGACTACTTCCAACCACATCTTTTTGAGCCTACCTCC